CTCCTCTGATGCTGCTTGGCCTGCTGTGTTCATCCAGCTCTACACCTTGTTATCTCACAATATTACTCTCCTTCCTTTTTATTTCTGAGTCAGGATGGGAAGTGGGTCGGTGTGGAACTTGCAGTTTGTTATGTTCCTATGTTTCTGTTGTCCTTGTCTTTCTAGTTGGAAGGTGTTGTCCAAGGTATATGGGTGAATGTCTGTAGTGCATCTTGCAGATGGTTTATGCTGCTGCCACTGAGCATCAGTGAAAGAGGGAATGGATATTTGTGAATGTGCTTTCATCCAAGTGGGTTGCTTTGTCCTGAAATGTGCCAGTTTCTCAAGAGTTGTTAGAGCTGCAGCCCTAATTCAAGTGGGGAGCATTCTACCACACTCCTGTCTTATGCCTTGTGGATATCGGGCAATTTTTACAGAATTCACTCCAGTGCACTCCGCATCCTGACATGGAATTTACATTAGAAAATGTTGGAGAAACTCAATCTCTTCAGTTCCAAAGCAGAGTAATATTGGACTTCAAAGGTTAACTCCGGTTCTCTCAACAGAGATGCTGCCAGACCTGCTAACTTTCTCCAGAACTTCCTGATTTTATTTCAGATCTTCAATACCTGCAGTACTTTGCTTTCATCTTGTTGGAAATATATCACCACTCACTGGGTCAATGTCCTGCCACTACCTCCCTTACAGAAGTCCCTACACCAAATTGACTGCCGCGTTCAAGAATCCCACGTACATTTCCAAAGTTCGTTAAAAATTGGAAATAAATGTTGACCCAAAAAAATAAAGCCCACATCCCCTAAATGAATAAAAAATATTTCCTTGGCAGCATCTCTTTGTGAGGTTTTCGGTAGATGTAGGTTTTCAGAACTTGAGAACAACCAGAGGTGGGCAGGAGTTAGCTAATGCAAATGCAAACAATATGGATCCTTTCTTAAACAATAACTCCATTTTTTCTGTTCTTCTTCTGTTTACAGTATCATCTCTGTATTCCGGCTTTGAGTGAATATATGCGTATATATATATATATATCTTACCATTTCTAAACTGCACAGCCATACACTCTCAACCACCATTATCCCTGATCTTTAACCCAGAATGAACCCTTGGATGATGATTCTTCTTGTTGGTAGCTTCAAATTTCCACACCGATTCTTAGTCCTACTGACCAGTCCTTACACTACCCTGAAAGGTTTTGGGCAGGAGGAGGCAGTGAACTGTAGAAAAAATGTACATATATTATAATAACTGGACATGTCACTGAAGTCCACAGATGTTTTCCTTCCATTCACAATCTACCCAGTCCAAACATGTTTCTCTGAGAGCTGATTTCATCAGAATGAGAAGAAAGAGTAAGATTTACACATGATGTCTGCAAGGAGACAGGACTGATCTGAATGGAGTTCAGTATTAGGATGTTGACTGCTCCTTTTAAATATGGTAACCAATCTAATGAAATGTGTTCCTGTTCACGATCTATCTTCCTGAACCATAATTACCGAAAAAGACAAGTCAATTCCTGAAGTTTTCATCAATCTGAATAAGTGTCATTGCTTTTTCAACAAGGCATATTATCAAGTCTCCAAAATTACATCCTATGTGACTCTGACATGAGACACTTTCAAAGTATATCCATTTCAATCTGTTTACAGACAGCAGGAGGGGTGACTCAAGTATATTTGGCAGTTTCATGTTTGGCACGTTTGATGTTATTCTGGTGGTGTAACATCTTTCATGTTGTAGCAAGGAAGCCTGGCGTACTGTGAATGGGGTGGTAATCACACTTGACAGCTTTCTTAATCTCACAACCACACTGTCAAGACAAACCAACAGAATTTATTAGGAACTGAGTAACAGTAAAAGTTATTTCTATCTCTGCTGGACTATCCACAATGCTGTGATCTCGTAGGACTGTATGCAAGGGCCCTTTCAACTTATCCACCCACTATTGCATGGGGACAAAACCAATCATTGACACAGCCACATGGAATAAAAAATATTCCTAAAATTACGCACCAAGGCACTTTGTACTTAAGATATGCTGTAACTGGCGACTTATACTCATGTGAGTACATGTTACATTAATTCCTAATTCAGTTCAATTCAATTCAGTTCAAGTAAATGGATTTCCTGGAATTCACATGGGTTCACAAACACCAGCTGCTGTCTGAATGAACTCTGACTCTGCAATGTTACTGACCACAGTACAAACTCAGGGGGAGGAGTCAGCACAGTTATAGCATCGACACTGTTGGGAGTTATGCTGGTAGACCGTGACAGTACCTTGTTTGTTTCAATTAGCCAAAAGGAAATGTTGTCTATTACAATGCACAACTGTTTTGAAACAAACGGACTACATGTGCTACATATGGAGTGTGATCGCAACACTCACCACAAGAGTCACACCCTAGCACCTTCCAATCCCAGTGCTGACCATTTCAAATGTTCAAAACACCCCACTCCCAGGGTCTTGAGTCATAGCATTGTGCTGTCACATAATCTATCAGTTTCTATCAAGTTCCTGATGCTCAATCCCATTGCATACTGAGCCTCCAACATTCACCGTATCCTGTGCAATGACACCCATATCAGCCAGTATTAGCCATTGCTGAATGCTGCCAGACCCTGGGATTATTTCTGATTCTGGATTGCCTTCAATAGTCTCCCCAGTCTGCCTTTGCCTGCACTTTGAGCTGCAATATAACCCCATACATGGTGCTTGTAAAACTGTGACACACCTTACGCAGTTGCATTGGCCCCTCCGTTGCCAGACACTGGAACTACCTGCTAAACCAGTGCCCGCATTGTACAATCCCATTGATACCCGATCTAGGGGAAGCCCCTCACCAATGCTTTCCAATCCGGCTTCTACACTTGCCCCAGCCAACCTTGTTAACCCATGATACAGCATGGGAGACTGACTACTGATGGATGGAAACCTTTGCAGATATCATTCATTTTAAAGCAACAAATGTTCACTACAGTCACTGTTTACGTGCTCGTGAGATTTCAAACTGCATCCTTTTGTCGCTGAGTTCATGTGAATTCCAGGAAATCTGGTTATTTTGGATAGAGGTCTCTTTGCGTGACTGTGGAGTGCCTAGATCTGCCCCAATGTTCTCATTCATCCCTGTGGGGTCATCCCTGATCACCCTAATATTGTTACCTTAGAATACTAAATGTTTCATTTTTCCGAAGTAGTGTTGCAGACTTTGAAGAAGTTTTGCAGATGAAAATCATCATTTTAACATCCACCACATTTACAACTGATGCTTGAACTTTGTAAATAAGCAAATGCTGCATGTTGCATTGCCAAATTTTAGAATGAAGCATTTCTTGTAGTTCATGACTTTCAGGTCAGAAGCACGCTGCCGTCCTCGTATAATCCCAGAGATCAGTGCGAAGTATGGAAAATGACATTGTTCTCTGGGTCAAATGCAAAATGCAGAACAAAAATTTTCCACCGTCAATTTGAAAATCCAAAATATAACCAACTTTGGTTTTGGATGAGTGTTTGCTGCAAATTTTTGAAACATTTTAACTTTGTGTTAATAACTGTGAATAATTTAAATATCTGGCCTGGAACAAAAAAAATTGAAGATAATTCTTTTCCAAAGCTAAAATTACTGTGTCTTCAATTTAAAATTTAGTTAATATTGTCATCCCTAAACAAATCCAAAATTTACACTATTTCACGTCTTTCCAATCCTGAACATTCAGGTCTAAGAGTCACATCATAAAATAAACTCAATGAAAATCAGAAACATTGCCTGTAAATTTTAAGATGCACCTCCATTGATTTGTCTCTGTTTGCTGTCATGATGATGAAGAGCTCCCCAGTGACTGAGGTATAAAATCTAAAACTAGATTAGTCCACAGATCATCTGATGTTAACCTGTTTTGGAAAATCAATAAAAATCATAAAATTAATGTGGTTTGATTTTAGCAATTTTTAATTGACTTTGAAAGCTATTGGAAAATGAATGAAAGATATTATGACCACTTAAACGGACTTGAAAAAGATTGAAATGTTGGGACAAAAAAATTCAACTTGAGTGCAAATTTGAAAATTTGACATAAGTTAATTACTCAGCAGTAGATCTGGAGCCTCTATCTCTTTTACAATTATACTAATCAGAGGACAAATTTGATGTGTTGACTCTCCACAAATCTTTTTGTATTTTTGCCAAAGGTAACAATTTCTAAAAACTACAATTAAATCTTTTAAATCTAGGTGAAACTAATTCAGTTTCCCTGACCTACCTGTTGCTTCTGTGAATTACAGAACAGGGTGAATATCATTAAAACTGCAAAATGAGAAATAGTTGACTCAGGAGCAGGGAAATGCCGTTTTTACAGAATTTAGACAGCTTTCATTGGTCGAGATTACGTAAAACAAAAGTGAAAGATCACCGTAAATAGGAGCTCTTTAGCAGAACTGCATTCAACTGAGAGAGAGGCACTGAAGTAGACAGAAGATCTATTTGGCAACAAAGTCCAAGATGAACAGAGCAACAGCTGTAATGACTGTCATCCTGCTGTTGTGTGCTATTGCTGCACAGGGTATGTCAACATTTCTATCTTGGGTTTTAATTTTTCTTGCAGTATAATATGGAAAGGAGTCTTTTTGCTGATTTATTGAGCAACCATACATGTCTCAGCATTCTGGTTGGTTGTTCATAAAATAATTAAACAGTCACCAGTGGTATATGTTATTAATAATATGATGTTTGTTTTAATACTGAATTCAGCACTTAAAGGACATGTCAATATTCTATCAACAGCAATCAAAATTGAAATTAAAGTTCAATTTATTTCATTCACAGGTATTCCAATCCTGGGCACTCAAGGACGGTGTCGGTGCCCAAGGACCATCTCCAACTTTATTGATCCAAGGATCTTCAAGAAATTACAATACATTCCCAAAGGATCACATGGTGAGACACAAGAGATAATGTGAGTAAATGGATCAGAATATCATCTTTGATCTTTCTCATTTTCCTATTTCTATTGAGATGCTGAAATTTCATTGTAAACATTTTGGATTAATCAATTTTCTTTATGTAGCAGATTTGAAGCATTGTGTTTGTGTCACTAATATAACCTGGCAAGGGAGACATCCAATTTCTGTGAATTAGATTTTAAAGGTTTTTCTTCTCTTTACAGCATCACCACAAAAAATGGGAAGAGATTTTGTGTGAGCCCTGATGCTGACTGGATGAAGATTATCATTAGATCTAGGAAAGGTTAGTGCTTGTAAACATACACACGGTATCTGTGAATAAATGTGTTTGAATGAAGTGTTTTTCACATGTTTGCCCTCAACTCCTTAGCCAAGGCTTTAACTCCAGCCTGCTGCCCATTCGTGCAGACTTTTCATGCATTCTGTTACTTTGTCCCCAAATCTAGTATTTGTGTATGAGGTGTGATCGTGAATGCTAACAAGTTATTCCACCACTGTGGTATCAGGGCTGAGTCCTACACTGTTCTCACCATCACACATTTGTGGTAAATCTAATAGCATGTCCCTGATTAATAATCCAGTGCAGGAATGCTGGGTGATTCCATGCTTCAGCACCCACGATAGTCATACTTTCAACAGCCAGCTGAGATCAGCCAATTCAATGTATCCCAGTGATCAAAACAGGGACTTTAACTCCTTTTCATGCTTCCTTCCTTCATGGTCAGCTCCCTGAACTTCTGCTCTGCATTGTAAACAGCCCTAGTGCATAATTCTTAAATCTTTTTTTAACTGTTCTATCTTAATGTATGAAGTGATATTTGACAATATTAACATTTGGCCAAAAAAATCCTTGGATCCTGTATGTATTAATATCATACTGTAAAATTAATGAATTATTAACAAAATCACAGCACTTTGCAATGTTGTTAAACAGTTCAGTTGATAATGCCCCATATTTATGTTTGGTGATGACAATGTTCTCACTATCAATGTAAATATCTACAGTTGTGGAAAAAAATAATACTTTATTTAATTTTATTTCAGGGTCCAGATCACATAACTAAGAAATGAAGCTGCAGTCGGATTCACTCGATTGCCCACTTGGGGTATTTGCCGAACAGTGAACATTGAAATGAGGGAAGCTCCCTGTAGGACATTCACTTTGTACTATCACCGTTTGATATGTTGCTGTGCAGTTCCCCTGGATTGATTCTCTGAAACCTATTTCAGTGTTTAACCCTCTTACGCTGTATTTGTTTACATAGAGCCTAAGAAATCAAGCTGCTATTGTGAAATTTTGCATCAAGCTTTCTTTCATGGGATGTGATGTTTACCATTATACTGAATATGGTCTGGCAGTGTTACCAAATACTATGCAATTGCAAGCAATTTGTTAAGGTTCTCCATCAATATTGGAAAATAATTTCCAATCATCAAAAGGTGCAGGTAGATGAGGAAATATTAACAGACTTATTTGCAAAATGACAAATCTGTTTTATTTTGATCCTTCCCCAAAGTTCATGTTATTATTTAAATTAAGATAATCAATACCATTTTTTCAGTAATTTGATTTATTGACCATTAAAAAATTATTTCACTAAATTTGTACATCACTGCCAATGTCACAACTTATCCCCCATTCCTTTACACACATGTGAATGTGCTGACAAGCTACTTTGTTGAACTGCTCCTGTGTAAATGAGGAAATGCAGAATTGCAAACAAATTGTTACTATCCAACGAGAAAGTGGAGGGACAGGCATTGTGGCAACTGTTTACCATGGTGTTGATTATGAAGGCTTTAAAGTGGCCTGTCATAAAATTGAGGTAATGTTCCTTGAGCCAATGCTGAGCTATATTGGAACAATATAGGAGAATGTGGACATAGTGTTTAGGGTGGGAATATAGAAGTACTGTCATGTGACATTGTTTCAAACTAAGTTACCGTCCAAATTTAAGCCAATCTTTCTTTTGCTGTTGAAAGTATGTTTATCCTAGACCATAAGACATAGGAGCAGAAGTTAGGCCATTCAGCCCATCGAGTCTGCTCCACCATTCAATCATGGCTGCTAAGATTTTCCTACATGACATATTAATGGCAAACCGTAGGAAAAGACTTTGAATTGTGACTAAACATACATTAGTTCCAGTTTGAATGAAACCCTTCATGTCAAAATTTAAGATCAATTAGTTGACATTAAAATTGCCATGATTTTACTGTAGTGTTTACCAATCACTGACATTTTAAGTGAACCTTGGGACTTTGTTGATATAATATCAAACCTCAGGATACAACCAAAGCTGAAGTCTGTAAAAAGTAAGACTCTATAGGAACGATGTTGTGTGTGAAATACTTACATTTTGGGAGGTATTGCTGCTTATCACATAATATTAACAGGAAGTAATGACATTTTTATATAAAACTCATCTCTGTGAAGGGATCTTTCTGTACTGAGAAATTTTCAGCATGGAATTGTGTTGACTACAAGTCTCACAAGATTTTATGCAAAAGTTGTGTTGTATATGTGAGCTGTGTTTGTATGAATTGTTTGAGTTTTTTGTATCTTTATCCTTAAGCATTTTTGCATGCATGACTAAAATAAACAAGATTTCATGAAGAATGCCTTGTCACCATTTCTCAATCTTCAGCTAAACAATTGTGCATCTCTTGAGTAGAAATATTTAGTGGTCTGACCAAAAATAACACCCACTTCAGACGCCCTGTTGAAAAGACCGAAAACAGGAAGGGTTTAGCACTGAGAAAGAGTTAAGATTACAATTCAGTCAAATCTCAATGGGTTGTATCATGGGTAGTCACTGACTTACTCCACCAGACAGGCACTGCTGTGAACTGAATAAATAGAGTGTTAAAGTGTAACTTTATCAGAGTACATGGTGGGAAAATTGGGCGCATGTTCTTTCCATTGTAACTGATCTCAATATAACTGTTCAGGGGTGCATCCTGCATTCAATGTGAATTTACAATAACAGCAAGTCTGACTAAGCCAAACAACAGTCAGATCACTGCAGGAGTGAATGGGATGACCAGTGGAGACACATTAAGCAGTTTAATCATCTTATCTGAGGATTGTATCTTGTGACAAGGACATGGAGAATTCTCCAGATTGTCTTTGGCCTCCCCATTCAGCACCCAAACCATCCTTAATCCCATGGAGACCATGAATTTTTGTCTTGTTTCTTACTCATGTTCATAGTGTCTCCTCGCTACTACTTCGTATCTCCTCGCTACTACTTCGTATCTCCTCGCTACTACTTCCTCCAGCATAACACTAACTTTCACCAGTGTCTGGTCAGATTAAACTGCAGTCACAATGTCTTGTCTGTTGGGGAAAGAGGTTCCATTTGTTGCGTGACCTTTGATATTCAATAGTGGGATATTAATTTTCTCCCCAATCAAATGTAGCAATAATCAACTAACTGAAGATGGTTAAAGTTAATATATCTTTCATAGAATCCATACAGTGTGGAAACAGGCCCTTCAGCCTAACGAGTCCACACTGACCCTTGGAGCATCCCACCTGGACCCATCCCCCTATAACCCACCTAATCTACACATCCCTGGACACCACGGACAATTTAGCATGGCCAATCCACCTAACCTGCACATCTTTGCACTGTGGGAGGAAAACGGAGCACCTGGAGGAAACCCAAGCAGACACGGGGAGAAAGTGTAAACTCCACACAGACAGTCACCTGAGGGTGGAATCAAATCCAGGTTCCGGGCGCTGTGAGGCAGCAGTGCTAACCACTGTGCGACTGTGCCGTCCCATCACAAAATTGTTAAAGTGCAGAAAGAAGCCATTTGGAACATCATGACTATGCCAGCTGCCCAAAGGAACATCTCACTTAGTGCCAGTCTTCTGACCTCTCCCCTTATGTGTTATGGAAGGAAAACATTGCAGATCCTGGAGATCTGAAGTGAAAACAGAAAGTGTTGAAAAAACTTCAAAGCGGCTTCAGCTGCAAAATAGCACCAGTGGATAAATTAGTGTATCTCGCAGACTTTCTTCTTAATCTGCATCTTACTTTGCAATTCAAACTCCAGGACTCTATAAAGACATTTTTGTTCCAATGCATCATTATCTTCCCCTCCTTCTAGCTTTTGTATCCTACTTCCTATTTTTTGTCCCTTTTACATCTCAACAAGATGCTTCCAATTTCTGGAATTAATTTTCCCAACTTCCTTATCACAACAGTGGCCCAATGACTTTCATTGAGCTGACTGCTCTTAGTAACCATACCCATCCCCGGAGCAACCTTCATAGCTATCCCGACTGATGGGTGAACATGCCCCAGACTGATCTCCTGAACTAACTTACCATGACTACCCCGACTGGTTACACTGGACCTGCACAACTGAGCATGGCCCACTCCTCAGACTATAGAGTTACACACTCTCTGACCTTGATTATCCATTGGCCAACTGACAATGTGCAAGCCCCTGAACTGTTATCCAAGCGAAGTATCTCACTAGAGTGACATTTCAATGAGGCGATATTAGGTACTCATGGTATTTAAATGCATGGAAATAGGTCTCTCACCGCTCCCCCGTGAGATGTTTCACTCCCCATTTCAAACTAGGTTGATGAATGAGACTTTGTGTTCCGACATCAAGAATCACCTTACTGCTGTTTATGATTTGTAACGTGTTGAGGCCTGTAACTGTGGTTATTCCTTTTCCTGGCAATTTGTACAGTGGTTGCACAATTTCCAGATTTGGACTTCATTCAAACAGCAGCGTGATCTGGACAAATCACGTGAATTCCAAGAAATCAACTTATTTTCTACTCCCAATGTTTCTTTAAGTCAGTGTTTTACTTTGCTCCAGTCTACTTATTCCCTTCAATTTATTTGAAGCCTACTATGTCGGCAGCCTGTTTCAATGTGACAAGAATTCTATGGGACTGAGTCATGTCCCATTGCCTTCCGGCACACGCTGAAAGCTGGTGCCTCGAATGGAGTGGTTTAGGCATCTGTGCCACAAAACGAGTCACTGGAATACATTCTGTGAGATGCCAATGCCAGCAATGGATTTTTGGGGCAGGGACGGAAATGGTTTGTGCAGGGAATCTCACATCCAGAATAAAGAGATTGCATTGTCTTGGGTGGCCTGACAGCGAGACATTATAAACTTTATTCTGAGGGCTGCTGCAGATGGATGGAGCTGGATTAAATTATCTTGAGGCACAAGATGTTCAGATATACGGGAAGGAAAATAAGGGATAATAAGGGAAACGATTCATTTAGAGGAAGAATTTCTAAAATATATTCTCATTTTTTTTGTGATGTGATTGCTGCAAATTTTTGAAACATCATAATTTTGCGTTAATAATGTAGTTCGAACAACAAACAATCAACATAATGTCTGACTGTGAATTATTTAAACATTTGCACTGGAACAAATATTCCATTTCAGAGCTAAAGTTACAGCATTGTCAAACTAAAATTTAGTTACACCTGGCATCTCTAAACAAAACCAGAATGACGTTTACACCAATTCACGACTTTCCAAAGCTGAATATTCAGAACTAAGAATCACATCATAAGGTGAAGCCAATGAAAGACAGAAATATTCCCTATAAATTTTAAAATGTAGTTCCATTGATTTATCTGTATTTACTGTTACGTCGATGAAGAGCTCCCCAGTGACTGAGGTGTAAAATCTGGAATATTCTGCAGATCATCTGATATTAATTGCTTTAGGAAAGCAATAAAAAGCATAAAACTAACATAGTTTCATTTTAGCAATTTTTAATTGTCATTGAAAGCTAACTGATAAGAAAGAAAGGCATTATGACGACTGCAAAAGGACTTGATGCTATGATAATTTACAAAAAACCACATTGCACTACTGGGAAAATAATTAAACTTGAATGTGTTTGAAAATTTGACAAACGTGTTAATTACTCGGTAATAGGTCTGGTAGCTATATTGCTTCTAAAATCAAGCTTATCGGAGGGCAAATTTGACATTGTCTCTGCCCATACCTTTTTTGCATTTTGGCAAAGGTGACAATTTCTGAAAACTGCAATTAACTTGTTTAAATCTAGATTTAATTAGTTCACCTTACCTGCCCTGCCTGTTGCTGCTGTGAATTATGTAACAGTGGTGACTATCATGTAAACTGCAAAATGAAAACAATGTTGACTTAGGAGTAATGAACCTCCCTTCTATGGCATTTAAACAGATTTCACTGGTCAAGATTACGCAAAACAAAAATAAAAGATTTCTATAAATAGGAGATTATTGGACCTGTTTGCAGCAGAACTTCATTCGACAGAGACAGTAACACTGAAGTATACAGAGGATCTTCAGCAGAAATCTATTCAGAAACAAAGTCAAAGATGAACAGAGCTACTATTGCAATGATTTGCATCCTGCTCCTGTGTGCTATTGTTGCACAGGGTATGTCAACATGTCTATCTTGAGTTTTAGTTTTGCCTGCAATGTAATCATTTATAATATTATTATATTCATAAGATAATAATTTGTCAAATATGTCGCGGTGTGCTGCTTGATTGTTCATTAAACTATTAAACGATCACTGATGGTACATGTTTTTGGTAATATGATGGTAGTTTTAAAACTGAATTCAGTGCTTAAAAGAAAATGTCAAGATTCTGTCCAGTACAATCAAAATTGAAATTGAAGTTCAATTGATTTCATTCACAAGTACACTCTTGCAATCCCAGGTACTGGAGGACAGTGTCTGTGCCCCAAGACCAGCACCAATTTTATCAATCCGAGAACCATCAAGACTTTACGATATATTCCCAAAGGATCACATTGTCATAAATGGGAGATAATGTGAGTAATTAGGTCCGAATATCGCCTTTAATTTTTCTTCTTCCACTTCTATTGAGACACTGCAATTTCTTTGTAAATATGTTGGATCAATTGCAATTTCTTCATGTAGCAGATTTGAAGGATTGTGTTTTGATCACTGATTCTTACCTTCCATGGGTAATATCCAATTTCTGTGAGTTAAATTTTGAAGTTTTATCTTTTCCTCACAGCGTTACCAAGAAAAGTGGGCAGAAAGTTTGTGTGAGCCCTGATGCCAAGTGGGTGAAGATTATCATTAAATCCAGGAAAGGTTAGTGCTTGTAAACTTGCATATGTTATCTATGAATAAATCTGCTCGAGTGAAGTGCTTTTCTCATATATGTCCTCAGCTCTTTGGCCAAGGCTTTAACACCAGTCTGCTGCCCACTCATGCAGGCTCTTGATGCATTCTGTTACTTTGTCCCTAAATCTGGTATTTGTATGCGAGCTGTGACAGTGGATGCTAACAAGCTATTCACCCACAGTGGCAGCAGGACTGATTCCGACACTGTTCTCAGCCTCACCCATTTGTGGTAAACTGGGGAGGAGCTTGGGGTGTCACTGGTCAGTAACCTGGTGCAGGAACGCTGGGTGATTCCATGCTCCAGCACCCACAGTCGTCATACATTGAGCAGCCAGCTGATGTCAGCTATCCCAGTGATCAAAACAGGAACTTTAACTCCTTTTCATGCTTCCTTCCTTCATGGTCAGCTCCCTGATGTTCTGCTCTGCATTGTAGACAGCTCTAGTGCATAATTCGTAAACCTTTTATCATCGGTTCTATCTTAACGTTTGAAGTACTATTTGGCAGTGTTAATGTTTTGCCATATCTTCCTTGGGTCAAATACATGCAGTTGTGCAAAAAAAAACTCTATTTAATTTTATTTCAGATTTCAGACCACATAACTAAGAAATGAAGCAGCAATGTGATTCACTTGATTGCACACCAGGGAAGATGCTGTACAATGCCCCTGAAGAGCATTCTTTTTCTGATATCACCATTCAATATGTTTGAGCAGTTCCCCTGCATTGATTCTCTGTAACGTATTTCATTGTTCAACCATCTTATACTGTAATTGTTTACACAGAGCCTAAGAAATCAGGCTGCTATTGTGAAATTTTGTGCCATGGTAGAGGTTTTCTTTTCATAAAATATGAGATGTGCGATTATACTGAATATGGTCTGGCATTGTTTCAAGATACAGTACAACTAAAAGCAATTGGTTAACATACTCCTTTCATATGGGAAAATAATTCCTAATCATCAGAATGTGCAGGTGGAAAAGAAATATTGGCAGACTTGTGAACTTGGGGAGGCATAAGAGTAAAGCAGATGTCATAGAGTCAGAGCCATAACATGGAAGCAGGCCCTTTGGCTCAAACTGGTCCATGTTGACTGTGGTGCCCACTCAGCTAGTTCCAATTACCTGCATTTGTTCCATTATCCCTGTAAACCCTTCCCATCCATGTACCTATTCAAATGTTTTTTAAATGTTGCTATTTTACCTACCTCAACCACTTTCTCTGGCAGACTATTCCATATACGCACCACTCTCTGCATGAAGAAGTTGCCCCTCAGGTCCTCCTTAAATCTTTCTCCTCTCACCTTAAACCTATGCCCTCTAGTTTTCAATTCCCCATCCGTGGGAAAAAGACTATATATACATCCTATCTATGCCCCTCATGATTTTATACACCTCAATAAGGTCACCCCTCATTCTTCTATGTTCAAAGGAATAAAGTCCTATCCTGGCCAACTTCTCCCTATGACTCAGGCCTACCAATCCTGGCAACATCCTCATAAATCTTCTTTGCACACTTTCCAGTTTAACTATGTCTTTCCTATAACAGGGTGACCAAAACTGTACCCAATACTCCAAGTGTGGCCTCACCAACAACTTGTACAACTGTAACGTAACATCCCAACTCATATACTCAAAGCCTCGACTAATGAAGGCCAGCATGCTAAATGCCGTCTTCACCACCCTGTCCATCTGTGACACCACATTCAACAAACTATGTACTTGTATTCCTTGGTCCCTCTGTTCAGGTCAGGACCTTACCATTTATTGTATAAGTCCTACCTTGGTTTGACTTTCCAAAGTGCAACACCTCACAATTATCTGTATTGAATTGCATTTGCCAAACCTCAGCCCACTTCCCCATCTGATCAAGATCCCTCAGTAATTTTTGATAACTTTCCTCACTATCAATGATACTCCCTAATTTTCTATCATCCACAAACTTATTAATCATGCCTTGTATATTCACATCCAGATCATTTATGTAAATAACAAATAATAAAGGCCCCAGCACCAACCTCTGTGGCACACCACTAGTTACAGGGCTCCAGTCCAAGAAATAACCTTTAACCATCACCCTTGTCTTCCTACCATTGAGCTAATTTTGAATCCAATTAGCTAGCTCTCCCTGGATCCCATGCAACCTAGCCTTCATTCCTAGCCTGCCATACAGGGCCTTGTCAAAGGCCTTACTAAGGTCCATAGAGACAACATCCACTGACCTACCCTCATCTATCCTCTTGTTTACCTCTTCAAAAAACTCTAAAAGATTTGTCAGACATGACTTCCCATGCACAAATCCATGCTGACTATCCCTAATCAGACCTTCACTATCCAAATGTTGGTTTATCCTCTCCCTCAGTCTCCTCTCCAATAACTTGCCTACCACTGATGTCAGGCTCACTGGCCTGTAGTTCCCTGCCTTGTCTTTGCTACCTTTCTTAAACAATGGAACAATATTAGCCACCTTCCAGTCTTCTGCAAATTGACCAGTGGCTAATGATGAAGCAAAAATGTCCGCAAGGGCATCTGCAATTTCTTCCCTAGCCTCCCATGACATCCGAGGATGGACTTGATCAGCCCCAGGGGATTTATCCATCTTAGTGCAATTTAAGGCTGCAAACACTTCCTCTCTGGTAATGTGTATGCAGTCCAAAACATCCCCACTTGTTTCCCTTATTTCCTTAGCATACATGATTCTTTCCTCAATGAACACTGAGGAGAAATATTCATTAAAAATCTACCCCATTTCCTGTGGCTCCACCCACAGATGGCCATGCTGATCTTTAAGGGGACCTATTCTCTCCCTAGCCACCCTTTTACTCTTAATATAGCTAGAGAGTTATGATCGCTGGACCCAATGTGCTCCCCGACTGACACTTCAGTCACTTGCCTGACCTCAATTCCCGAGAGGTGATCCTGTGTTGCACCCTCTTGAGTAGGGCCCTCTACATATTGACTGGGGAAACTTTCTTGGACATATTTGCCAAATTCCACCCCTTCCAGCCCTGTTACATCCTGGGTGGCCCAGTCAATACAGGGGAAATTAAAATCTCTAACCTATACTACTATGTTATTGCTTCAGGTATCTGCCATCCCTCCACACATCTGCTCCTCTAGTACCTGCTGGCTACTTGGAGGTCTATAACAGTCCCAACAGAGTGACCATCCTCCTCTTGTTTCTATGTTCTAAGATGTGTTGGTTTTGTTTGAATTAACATTATCTATGTCAATTTTTCATTAATTTGATTGATTATTAATAAATTATTTCATTAAATTTGTACATCGCTGCAAAGCCAGCACTTATTCCCTCTCCTTTATGCACATGTGAAAGTGCTGGCAAGCTACTTTGTTGAACTACTCCTGTCCTTATGGGACTGAATGAAGGAGAGATCTGATGGCAAAAGGGATGATGGTGCAAGGCAAATTAGAAAACAATGCGACAAGTGAAGGAATAAAACTCTGTTTTGAAGGGATTTATTGTAACTTCCGTTATAACTCATCCTTTGACTCTGTCTATACTTCCCACTGTAGGAAAGCAGCCAACCTAATCAAAGACCCCTCCCAGCCCAGTTATATTCTCTTCCACCCTCTTCCATTAGGCTGAAGATACAAAAGTTTAAAATAGATTTATCCCTATATCCCTTCTTACCATTTCTCAGGTTGAATCTCACAGTTTGTCCTTCAGAACTCAGCCAACTCAGTCAGTTCTGGTGCTACTGAGCCACTCTTGCTGGCGATCAAAGTATTCCCTAGCACAGATTTAAGAACAGCTTCTTTCCAACAGTTATCAGACTTATGAACGGACCTCTCATATATTAGAGTTGATCTTTCTTTGCACCTGCTCTGTAACTGTAACACTATATTTTGCATTCTGTTCTATTATCCTGATGTATTTATGTAAAGTATGATTTGCCTGGTTAGCGCACAATACAATACTTTTCACTGTATCTCAGTACATGCGATTATAATAAATCAAATGAAATCAAAACGTCTGCTTGAGCCAAACAACAGTCAGATCACTGCAGGAATCAGTGGATGACCAGTGGAGACACAGGAAGCAGCTTAATTATCTTAACAGAGGATTGTATCTTGAGTTAAGGACATGGAGAATTGTCTAGAATGCTCTGTCTTCTGGCTGCCCCTGGCCCCCACCCATGTTATCCTTAATCCAATGGAGTCCATGAAATTCCTTCTTACTCATGCTCGTAACATCACCTATTGTTACCTCTAGTACACGTTAACCTGCACTCGTGACCGGCCAGATTAGACTGCAGTCTCAGTGTCTTGTTTGTAAGGAAAGAGATTCCATTAGTTGAGGGATCTTTGATATTCAATAGCAGGATACTGATTTTCTCTGCAGTTAAATGTAGCAATAATCACTGAACTGAAGCTGGTCCATGTTAATATATCCGTTTGCAGCGTCACAAGATTGTTACAGTGCAGAAAGTAGCCAAATAAGCACCCGCCATTCTCCTGACCCTCTCCCTTTAAATTTTATGAAAGCAAAATATTGCAGATCCTGAAGATCTGAAATAAAAACAGGAACTGTTGGGGGATCTTTAAAGCAACAACCTCAGCTGCAAAACAACACCGGTGGATAAAATTAGTGAATCTTTACCGATTGTCCTTTATTTTAACCTGTATTTTACTTCACCAACTTCAACTCCAGAACCCTACAAAGAGCCTTTTTGTTATGAGTGCTTGGGGATTGATTGTGTATATTGTGTTAGTAGGAAATAGGATTTATCTGTACATTTTTAACATTTTGAAACTATTTTTACCTGAGCAGATTTTAGCAAGTGTTACTTGTTGAACTGACAAATTCCTGACTGGCGTAATGTTTACAAACTGCATACGGTCAAGCACCTATTGAATTGGCAATCCCAGATATTTTCAAAATTTAAAATCTGTTTTGATCAAGTAGGGAGTTGGAAAGGAGAATGATCTGTCTCATTTAAAAGCTTGAGGTCAATTCTAAATAGAGTGGAGCAACTATATCTTTAGATATTAGAAACAACAGGTTTTCATCTTCAAAGTATTTTCAAAGTCTGCAGTAGTATATAAAAGAAAATGAAAGATTTATATTCCAATTGAACAATATCAGGCTCGTCAGAGTTGAGCATACCAATAGTATGAGAACGTGGACAGATTTGGATTTTGGACAGCCACATAAAGAGGCCTGTATCATAAATTCAGCCAGTGAGCTGTGGGGTGGACCATGTTCCTAATCGAATGCAGTTTACTAGATTGAAGCCTGGAAACTGAGCCATAGTTGGGGCCAGCAAGATCAATAATGGAGTTAGGGTGATTATGATCGCAAAGCAAGAGGGTCCCCCATATGGCAGCAGCACAGATTGTCTTACTGGAACTACATGGTGAGGCAAATACACTTTTTGTCTACTTTCTAAAATCAGCTAAGAGCTGTTTGCAGTCAGTCACCGATTGTCATTGGGAAGAGAGACAGATCACAAACTCGATGTGAGTCACCAAGCAGCCAAGGCAATTGACAGCAATATCTTGAAAGTGTGGCATCCCAATAGAGAAAGGGTCTCCTTCCCAACCTGTTCCAAATTGAAGTTCACCTGAGAACTATCCTTTGAAAAACTGCATTCTAAGTAACCAATGTTAAAACCTACAATAAACTTTTTACATTACAGATTATCCTATTCAAATTCAAAACATTAAATCCATTCAAAACCCATAAGCCTGATTACATCGGAGATCAAGGAGTGTAAATTAGAGACTGACTTAGTTTTAATTTGTTCCCAAATCTGCATCTATGTTTGCAGTACATTTTTACGTACGTAGTCATTGTGCGTGTGTGCATGTATGTATGCACGCATGTGTATGTGTGAGTGTGTGTGTGTGTGTGAGAATGTGTGTGTGTGTATGTGTATGTGTGTGTATGTGTATGTGTGTGTATGAATGTGTGTGTGAATGTGTGTGTGTGTGTGTATGTGTATGTGTGTGTATGTGTGTGTATGTGTATGTGTGTGTGTATGTGTATGTGTGTGTATGTGTATGT